TTTCTTATGGGGAAAATTAATTCGCCTTACGATAATTTCGGCATACGATGAGCTCTCAGGAATGGATTAATATCATATGCCGGGGGTCCACTGTACATTAATAATTAATAAAATGACACTTGCCTTTATTGAAGACGTATTTGATGAGTGATGAGATGCGAGGAGGGCAGAGGATGGAGGAGTTTACAATTGTTTGGAAGGGGAATCCCCTTCCATAAGGACTTTAGGTACCAAGTCCTTTTCTGGGGTTACCTCCCTTCTTTGTTTTTTAATGCCACTAGGACCAGCTTGAGAGTCAATGGACCCCTGTCACACTAAAATCTGTCCAGAGAGCTCTGTTTCTGGCATCTCTTGAAGATTTCCCTAAAATGGGACACAACGTTGTCATTGTAGATGTTGCCAGCACGGCGTGCAACAGCTATTTGTTACTTCTATTTATTGTTTATTGTTTGAGAGGTTTTTACAAAGCAGAAGTGTTATAAGAAGAGCAGAGTATATGGAGAGTAAAAGAAAGGTGAAGAGAGTGGTGAGAGAGTGCAAAAGGAAAGCAGATGATAGTGGGAGAGGCACTGTCAAGAAATTTAAATGAAAATAAGAAAAAATTTTGGAGTGAGTTAAACAAGTTAAGAAAGCCTAGGGAAAGTGTGGATTTGTCAGTTAAAAACAGAGTAGGGGAATTAGTAGATGGGGAAAGGGAGGTATTAGGTAGATGGTGAGAATATTTTGAGGAACTTTTAAATGTTGAGGAAGAAAGGGAGGTGGTAATTTCATGCACTGGCCAGGGAGGTATACCATCTTTTAGGAGTGAAGAAGAGCAGAATGTAAGTGTTGTGGAGGTACGTGAGGCATTACGTAGAATGAAAGGGGGTAAAGCAGCTGGAACTGATGGGATCATGACAGAAATGTTAAAAGCAGGGGGGATATAGTGTTGGAGTGGTTGGTACTTTTGTTTAATAAATGTATGAATGAGGGGAAGGTACCTAGGGATTGGCGGAGAGCATGTATAGTCCCTTTATATAAAGGGAAAGGGTTAGTTTAATATGTTTATTATGCACCCCATACCCATCCTGTGGGCGGTAGTCAAAAGATTACAGAGGTACATAATTGGTCCAGGGACTGGACTCCAAAGTTTTGATAGCTGAGCAAGTTACAGAGGTAATGAACTCACAATTTACAAAGGTAATGAGCTCACAATTTACAAAGGTAATGAACTCACAATTTACAAAGGTAATGAACTCCAGGTAAGTCTGGTCACAATCATGACAAGTTACAAAGGTATTTACAGATTACAGAAGTACGTAATGGGTCCAGGGACTGAGCCCCCAAAGTTTTGATAGCTGAACTAGGTACAAAGGTAATGAGCTCACAAGTTACAAAGGTTACCTTTGTAACTTTGTAAGGGAAAGGGGACAAAAGAGATTGTAAAAATTATAGAGGAATAAGTTTACTGAGTATACCAGGAAAAGTATATGGTAGGGTTATAATTGAAAGAATTAGAGGTAAGACAGAATGTAGGATTGCGGATGAGCAGGGAGGCTTCAGAGTGGGTAGGGGATGTGTAGATCAAGTGTTTACATTGAAGCATATATGTGAACAGTATTTAGATAAAGATAGGGAACTTTTTATTGCATTTATGGATTTAGAAAAGGCATATGATAGAGTGGATAGAGGAGCAATGTGGCAGATGTTGCAAGTTTATGGAATAGGTGGTAAGTTACTAAATGCTGTAAGAGCTTTTATGAGGATAGTGAGGCTCAGGTTAGGGTGTGTAGAAGAGAGGGAGAATACTTCCCAGTAAAAGTAGGTCTTAGACAGGGATGTGTAATGTCACCATGGTTGTTTAATATATTTATAGATGGGGTTGTAAAAGAAGTAAATGCTAGGGTGTTCGGGAGAGGGGTGGGGTTAAATTATGGGGAATCAAATTCAAAATGGGAATTGACACAGTTACTTTTGCTGATGATACTGTGCTTATGGGAGATTCTAAAGAAAAATTGCAAAGGTTAGTGGATGAGTTTGAGAATGTGTGTAAAGGTAGAAAGTTGAAAGTGAACATAGAAAAGAGTAAGGTGATGAGGGTATCAAATGATTTAGATAAAGAAAAATTGGATATCAAATTGGGGAGGAGGAGTATGGAAGAAGTGAATGTTTTCAGATACTTGGGAGTTGACGTGTCGGCGGATGGATTTATGAAGGATGAGGTTAATCATAGAACTGATAAGGGAAAAAAGGTGAGTGGTGCGTTGAGGTATATGTGGAGTCAAAAAATGTTATCTATGGAGGCAAAGAAGGGAATGTATGAAAGTATAGTAGTACCAACACTCTTATATGGATGTGAAGCTTAGGTGGTAAATGCAGCAGCAAGGAGATGGTTGGAGGCAGTGGAGATGTCCTGTCTAAGGGCAATGTGTGGTGCAAATATTATGCAGAAAATTTGGAGTGTGGAAATTAGGAGAAGGTGTGGAGTTAATAAAAGCATTAGTCAGAGGGCAGAAGAGGTGTTGTTGAGGTGGTTTGGTCATTTAGAGAGAATGGATCAAAGTAGAATGACATGGAAAGCATATATATCTATAGGGGAAGGAAGGAGGGGTTTCTGGAGTTTATCTGGAGAGAGTTCCGGGGTCAACGCCCCCGCGGCCCGGTCTGTGACCAGGCCTCCTTAGGTCAGTGTCCCAGGATGCGACCCACACCAGTCGACTAACACCCAGGTACCCATTTTACTGATGGGGAACATAGATAACAGGTGGAAAGAAACACGTCCAATGTTTCTACTCTGGCTGGGAATCGAACCCAGGCCCTCACCGTGTGAAGCGAGAGCGTTAACCACCAGGCCACCAGGAAAGAGGGTTGGAAAGAGGGGGTAAAGGAGGTTTTGTGGGCGAGGGGCTTGGGCTTCCAGCAAGCGTGCATGAGCGTGTTAGATAGGAGTGAATGGAGATGAATGATACTTGGGACCTGACGATGTGTTGGAGTGTGAGCAGGGTAATATTTAGTGAAGGGATTTAGGGAAACAGGTTATTTTCATATAGTCGGACTTGAGTCCTGGAAATGGGAAGTACAATGCCTGCACTTTAAAGGAGGGGTTTGGGATATTGGCAGTTTGGAGGGATATGTTGTGTATCTTTATACATATATGCTTCTAAACTATTGTATTCTGAGCACCTCTGCAAAAACAGTGATAACGTGCGAGTGTGGTGAAAGTGTTGAATGATGATGAAAGTATTTTCTTTTTGGGGTTTTTCTCTCTTTTTTGGGTCACCCTGCCTCGGTGGGAGACGGCGGACTTGAAAAAAAAAAAAAATTATTGTTGTTGTCTTCCAGTGCTTTGTACAAGTAAACCTTAAGATGTCAACACTGTTTCAAAGTGTGACACTTATTGAAACCAAAAAAAAAAAAAAAAAAAAAAAAAAGTCACCTTATTTGACTTTAATGGGGTTGTTTGGGTTAAATCTACATAATGTGCTTTTTTTTTTTTGCCTGAATTTCACTGGCAGTATCATAAAATTTAATCAATCTGGAAGCACTAAAGCATCTTCCTGCTCGTTCCATATCCATTCAAGGTGTGGTGTTCCTTGAAATATGGAAATAAGTCACACTGTTCGATTTTATTGAGTTATCCAAGGTTCAATCTGCATAGTGAACTTTTTGGCTGAATTTCACTGATTTTATCATGAAACTGATAAATTTGGTACAAATAAGACATTTTCCTGCCAGCTGCATATGCTATTTGTTGCAGGAAAGATAATGGTGACTCCATGAATGATGATGTCTCTTGCTTACATATTCTACCGAGGTAGCGTTACCCACGATGCACTGTGTGGACAACCCACTGGCTACTAGATATTTTTTCCAGGTGTAAGGTGGTAAACAAACCATACCACGGGCGGGGACAGAACCCGCGATCAGAGAGTCTCAAAACTCCAGACCGTCACATTAGCCACTGGACCAGCTAGCCACAATAAGATTCGTCCGACTAGGTATATTTCTACACCATAGGAAGGTTAGCATAGGCACCACTGTGACCACAAATGAAAGTTTTCACAGACGAATCTCCAGCTAGCGTGGCTGTAATGAACTCTAGCTCAAGTCCCCTAAAAGCCGTTAACATGACTCACGAAATCGTAATGCCACGATTGCAAACAAACCATACCATGGGCGGGGATAGAACCTGCGATCAGAGAGTCTCAAAACTCCACACCGTCGCGTTAGCCACTGGAGCAGCTAGCCACAATAAGATTCGTCCAACTAGGTATATTTCTACACCATAGGAAGGTTAGCATAGGCACCACTATGTCCACAAATGCAAGTTTTTACAGAGGAATCTCCCACTAGCATGGCCGTGACAAACTCTAGCTCAAGTCCCCTCAAAGCCATCAACATGGTATGGTTTGTTTGCAATTGTGTCATTACGATTTCATGAGTCATGTTGACAGCTTTGAGGGGACTTGAGCTAGAGTTCGTCACGGCCATGCTAGCGGGAGATTCGTCTGTAAACACTTGCATTTGTGGACACAGTGGTGCCTATGCTAACCTTCCTATGGTGTAGAAATATACCTGGTTGGATGAATCTTATTGAAGCTAGCTGGCCCAGTGGCTAATGTGACGGTTTGGAGTTTTGAGACTTTCTGACCACGGGTTCAAATCCCACCCGTGGTATGGTTTGTTTGCAATCGTGTCATTATGATTTCGTCAGTCATGTAGGGTGGTAGTAGGTCAACTAAACCTTTGAGCAGTGAGTTAAAAAAAAAGGCAGCAGGTGACATATTTGAAGACACAGAAATTAGGTGCACAAGTGCAATGGGGAATTTGGTCCTTGTGTACTAGGAGGATGGAAAAAGAGTTAATGTCAATTATACTTTGCTTATACTTTATAATCTTTCGTTTTTACTTATCAGCAACTTTGCAAACTTCTATTTTTAAACAAACAATAACAAATCTTATCAATATACCTTTTAAAAATTATAGCAATAAATTAATATTTGATAGAAAAAATATACTGTATATTATACATATTTACTTTCTATACATCAACCTAAACAATACTGATTAACTTCCATTAATCTAAATTTTCTTTCAAACTATAAAATAACTATTTTATAAATGGCCCCATGCAAGGTAGTCCCGAAAATTTTTGACAGCTCTCTCTTGTTCGCGCGTCTCAACGCTACCTGGTCGCATCAGTCGCACGTTACATATGGCTTCACCAGGAGCCTGGCCATAATATTTCATGAGGTAACATGCAAGTAGTACTCCTGTTCGTCCTCGTCCCATCCTGCAGTGAACACACACTACCTGCAACACCAAAGCCTTATGGATTAGACGAACTTAACGAAAACTACAACAACCTGGCTATCAGTAACCAATTTTCTATAACAAAAGTACTGCACGCTTAGAATTAGTCTGCCTGAAATGCCTAGGCATGCTAGTGGCTTTTTTTGTAGTTAATATTTTATAATATGTAAACCCCACATTGTAAGATATGCAAGGAAATAAACATTTTCATTTTCACTGTCATGATAAGTCAAAGGTAATCTTAATACTAATCTAAGTGTTGACTGAAATGCTGTCTAACTTATGGGCTTTCTGATTAACATATATTTTATATGCAGTAATGTGAAATGAACACTTTGAATCCGAATAATTTTTTCTTTTATTACACACAGTGTAATAAAAGAGTCTATTTTGAAGGTGAACCATGTCTAAGGTACATCACTAACAACACTTCCCTAACACACAGGTACCCATTTATTACTAGGTAAAGAGGGGGTAGCAGGTGTAAGGACACATGTCTAACACCTGTGCCTGGGTCTTATGTGCTACCAGGAAGCTCTGTGCATATGAAAATTAAACAAATGCTAAAAAATTAATTACCTTCTTTTCTCTATTGGCCTCATCGCAAATGGAAATAAATTTACTAATTTGTTCCATAGATGGATCTTCAAATTCCTCTATGTGGATGAGATGACACTTGAAGAGCTTGTTGGCTGACCTATGAGGTGGTGTTTCATCACTCAAAGTCACAATTACATCAACACCTTCCTTCCTGAACAAATACAAAAACAGTGACATTTATACAATGAAAATAAATAAATTTATAATTTTTTTTAACATGTTGGCCATTTCCCACTGAGGCAGGGTGACCCAAAAAGAAAGAAAAACTTTCATCATCATTCAACACTTTCATCATTACTCATATATTCATAAATTTATAATATGAGCAAATAATTGTGATTGCTGTAGCCACAATCTCACAACATGAACAAAATTTTGAGCTGATCTCTTAACAACAAAATATATACACTGAGAGGTGTTTTTCAGGGTATATATACTCCTGAGAGTTTATTTTCATCCCTATTTTAGGGATGAAAATATTCTTGTTTGGTAGTGAAAATGTTATGTGCTGCCTACATAAGATTTAAACCCCATTAATCAATCTATCATTCTTATCTGCTTAGTCACAAATGCATCATGGAGAAGCCATATTACTTGGTCACACCCATCATACAAGTTATTACTTGATCAAACTCATGATGGGGAAGTCACATTAAGTGGTCATACCCATCCATCATACAAGCCATTACTTGATCAAACCCATGATGGGGAGGTCACATTAAGTGGACACACTCATCATACGAGTCATTAGTTGATCAAACCCGTAATGTGGATGTCACATTAAGTGGTCACACCCATCATATGATTCTTTGGTGACAAATGATTCATAAAAATGTTATATTACTTTGCCACATCCATCATGTCCTGGTGGGATGATGTTGTAAGTGGGATGACACAAAGATCTATTCTGTATTTAACTTATTTAAATGATACAAAAATATTAGGTATGATAAACAATAAAAATAACCCAATCTCCTCAGGATGACTTGGGTAAATTGAATAACTGAAGTGATAAATGGATGTTGGAATTTAATATAAATGAAAGTCATGCAGTGGGAGAATGAAATAATGCCACATTAAGAATACAGACTGTGATTAAATATTGAAAGTATCAGACAAAAGGACCTAGGAGTTACTGTATAACCCCTGTATCCACTGATTCAGTATTTGCAGTTTCGGTTATCCACAGTTTACTGTGGCCCAAAATACCTCTTAATTTTTCATAATATTGGCCTCAAAGTGTAAAAGTAGAGAAGATGGCAGTTCTTCAGTTTCCCCATCAATGAAAAAGTGATAATTCTCCACTTATGAAGACAAATTTCAACTTCTCCATTATGGAAAACTAGAGGAAATAATAGCTAGAACTGAATATACCACAAACTCTAATCACACAATAGAGCAGAAAAGTAATGTGAAGGACCTGGGAGTGGTAATGTCTGAGGATCTCACCTTCAAGGATCACAAAAGTGCCAGTATCACATCTGCGAGGAAAATGATAGGATGGATAATGAAAACATTCAAGATAAGAGATGTCAAACAAACCATACCAAGGACGGAGATAGAACCCGCGATCAGAGAGTCTCAAAACTCCAGACCGCCGCGTTAGCTTTGAGGGGACTTGAGCTAGAGTTCGCCAAGGCCACGCTAGCTGGAGATTCGTCTGTAAAAACTTGCATTTGTGGTCACAGTGGTGCCTATGCTAACCTTCCTAGGGTGTAAAAATATACCTAATTGGATGAATCTTATTGTGGCTAGTTGGCCCAGTGGCTAACGCGACGGTCTGGAGTTCTGAGACTCTCTGATCACGGGTTCTATCCCCGTCTGTGGTACAGTTTGTTTGCAATCGTGTCATTACGATTTCGTGAGTCAAGAGATGTCAAGACAATGATGGTCCTTTTTAAATAATTTGTTCTCTCTAGGCTGGAATACTGCTGTACATTAACATCTCCATTCAAGGCAGGTGAAATTGCAGATCTAGAGAATGTACAGAGAACCTTTACTGCACATTTAAGTTCCATCAAACACCTTAACTACTGGGAATGCTTGGAAGCACTTGACTTGTACTCACTGGAGTGCAGGCGAGAGAGATACATCATAATCTACACCTGGAAAATCTTAAGAGGAACTGGTCCCTAATCTGCACACAGAAACCACTCCCTATGAAAGCAAAAGACTTGGCAGGTGATGCAACATATCCCCAATGAAAAGTAGGGGTGCCATTAGTACACTAAGATTGTTCAACAGCCTCCCACCAGCCATAATGGGAATTACCAATAGACCCCTGGTTGTCTTCAAGAGGGAGCTGGACTGATACCTAAAGTCAGTGCCAGATCAGCTGGGCTGTGGTTCGTACGGTGGACTACGTGTGGCCAGCAGTAACAGCCTGGTTGATCAAGCTTTGGTTCACCAGGAGGCCTGGTCGTGGACCAGCCCGCGGGGGCACTGATCCTTGGAATACCCTCCAGGTACTGTGCATAATTTATTAAATTTTAAAACAGGCATGCATAGGACTTGTATAGGGTTTGCTACTATCCACAGTTTCGGTATCCACAGCAGGTCCTTGGAACACATCCCTCGTGGATACGGGGCGACTTCTGTATTATTAAAATAAGTTGTCACCAGAAGACCGTATAAATGAAATTGTGAGAAACTCATTTGCTACTCTGGCAAATTATGAACTAGCTTTTAAAAGACATGAAATCATAATAAGACAATTCCAAACAAATCATAGAACAGGTGAAGTTGGGACCCACAGCAAGTGAATCCTAAAACTCACAGGCCAGTGTATTAAACACTGATGTGTGAGTTTTAGAACTCACTTGCCGTGGGTTCAAATCCCACCTGTTCCCTGAATTGATTAGCTTTTAAAAGTACAGTGGACCCCCGCTTAACGATCACCTCCAAATGCGACCAATTATGTAAGTGTATTTATGTAAGTGCGTTTGTACGTGTATGTTTGGGGGTCTGAAATGGACTAATCTACTTCACAATATTCCTTATGGGAAAAAATTCGGTCAGTACTGGCACCTGAACATACTACTGGAATGAAAAAAGTTCGTTAACCGGGGGTCCACTGTATAGATGAATAAGTTCTTTAAAACTGTTTAAAACATATGTTCCAAACTTAGAATATGCAGCTGTGGTGCAGTGTCAACACTTTAAAAAACATGTAGGCAAGTTCAAAAAGGTTCAAAGAGCAGCAAAGTGGTTAGCAGAGTTAAAAATTATAAGTTATGATGAAAGGCTAAAAACAGTAAAGGTGCCTCACTGGTTGACGGGAGGCAGAGAGGGCATGTTAGCCCCATACAAGCTCATAAAAGACTACATGAAGACAATTTTTTTCGAACCAGCAACAAAGATAACAAGAGATCATAGTTGTAAATTGGGAAAAAAAGTGATGCTGAAGGGGTATTAGGATATTTTTCTTGACAGAGTGGTAGGTCAGTGGAATGAATTATAATATAGTAAGTGCTACAACAATTAATAATGTAAAAATTATTGAAGATGGGGCTTCACGAGGACACCTCTGCTCATGTAGCAACATAGAGGTAATTACAAATAGATAATTACAGTTTCACAGCCTTCATGGAGAGGTCACACTGGACATACTCCATGGGAAGGTCACAGCAGTAATACATTTCCAACTATTTCTTTAGGAGTGAGTATGTGCTGGCATGCACAGTTACATCCAATACATACACAGGTCTTGTATTCGTATACAGGTAGTGATGACCAGGCCAATACAAGAGTCTATAAGGGTGAGAATTTTCACCAAAAAGATACAAATACCTGCAAAACTTTGCTTCTTGACAACACACGAGATTTTATCTTAATAACACACGAGAATTATTCTTCATGAAATATACTTACTATCTAAAGAAATGTGTTAAACGAACTCTTCTGCACTTAAAGAGGAATTTCCTTGAACTATATCTTTTACCTAAAGCAATGTTATTCCATTTTAGTGTGTGAGTTGTGAAGACCCGATATTTATAGTTGCATGATCAGGGGAGCAGATTGTGTGTAACACCACCACCATCACTGTAATAACCATTACCACCATCATTGTAACAACCATTACCACCATCACTGTGTAACAACCATTACCATCATCACTGTGTGTAATAACCATTACCACCATCAATGTGTATAACAACCATTACCACCATCAATGTGTGTAACAACCATTACCACCATCACTGAGTGCAATAACCATTACCACCATCACTGTGTGTAATAACCATTACCACCATCACTGTGTGTAATAACCATTACCACCATCACTGTGTATAATAACCATTACCACCATCACTGTGTGTAACAACCATTACCACAATCAATGTGTGTAATAACATTACCACCATCACTGTGTGTAGCAACCATTACCACCATCAATGTGTGTAATAACATTACCAC